GCGGCGTGCGGGCGGAGGGGCCGCCATCCTCGGGGCGGCAGGGAGGGGGCAGCGGCGAGCCCCTTCCGACGGCGGAACTCTTCGGGCGCCGGCGGAACTCCCGGCGCCGGCCTCGGATTGGGTGCAGACGGCCGGGAGGGCGTCGCGTGTTGGAGCATCGTCGAAGGCCGCCTTTCCCTTTTTTTATTTTTTTGATGTTATAAACTTTATTGAAGATCAACCATTACATTTGTAAACCATCGCGCACATATCATTTGTCAAACTCACAATTACAATTTTTGTTCCTGAATGAGCACTATCTAGCTTTAAAAACATTCGCACTTTAATTAGACCTTTTTTTGCACCCTCTAGCAGTAGGCCGTGTTTGATGTTTGATCGTTTTACGTATATTAGATAGGAATGGTATCAGAGAGTTCCACGATCAGACACAGATTTACAAAAATGAAAGAATGGAAGAGAAGGTAATATTTAACATAAAAGACTGCCATTAAGAAAAAATCAAAGTATAATACAGAGGGTTTATGTGGTTGGCAATCTTGCGTAAGAATGTAGTCCAAAAATGGGTACCATTTTCCGTCAAAATTAGATTGCTTCGGGCAGATTTCGGATCTTCGAACCTTATCTGTGATTTTTTCCAAGATAAAGTGGTCCCATACCTTTTTAAATGAGTTGTTTCTCATTGGAGCCAAAAAAGACTTCCATACAGACGCTATTGAGGTCTTTGCAGCTACTTACCGGAAGGAGGGAACTCATCGGACGGGGGGGAGAGAACCTCGCGAGACCGGGCGGAGCCCAGTTCAGGCCGCTTCGGAACGGCGCCGAGGCCACGTTCACACGTGCACGTGCAGCAACACGTGAAGACTCGCCGGCGGGGACGCGCCCCCGCAGATCGCACTTTTGCGATGGTTGGCAGCAGCGCCTCTCGCGTGCAGGGCCCGCTCCGCTCCCCAGTTGTCAGTTCGCACGTTAAGCCGAGAGGGCTGCCGCTGCGCGACCCGAAGATGAGTCTCCGAGAGAAGGGCGGACTCCGGCTTCGCTCCCATCCAGGTCAAGCACTGTGCGCTGTGCGCAATAGTCCCATTTTAATGATTTCTTTAGGTGCGGGCCGCCTAAGTAAATGCTTCCTTCCCTTCCGCAAGCAGCGCTTGTCAGGCGACTGTTTACCCCCCAGGAACGTTGGAACTCTGTACACGTGGAAACAACCGTGTGCTTCGTCGACTGGACGCCAGGTGGCGCTGTTATCCCCGCAGGGCACAGTCAAGCCACCTGCGTGGCCGAAACCAGCCACTGGGCGGCGCTGCGGCTCGCTAGATTCTCTAGTCGCCATTTTAATGAGGACTAGTCTGGAGAAATATCCGCTGCTAAAAAAAAATCCTCCCCCCCAAGTAACCAAGTTTTATTCCGTCCTGGAAACAGAACAGCGATCAGGAAGAGCAAAAGGAAGCCGTTCCCTAAGCACCACAGAGGAAGATCTGATGAAATAAAAACGTCTTTTAAAAATAGCCTGTTCCAGAGCTGATCTTTTCCCAAGTTTTCTAGGGGCGCTTTTACACAGACTAGATAATGCAGTTTCAGTTCACTTCAGTGACTCTTTGCAAGTGGATTTTGCCATTTCACACCGTAAGATCCGGTTGCAAAGTGCATTGAAATTGTGTTATTTAGTGTGTGCCCCTGTATAAATCGATGGTGCAACCTCATTTGGAATACTGTGTGCAGTTCTGGTCACCACACCTCAAAAAGGATATTATTGCATTGGAAAAAGGGCAGAAAAGGGCAACTAGATTGATAAAAGGGTTGGAACACTTTCCCTATGAAGAAAGGTTAAAGCGCTTGGGGCTCATTAGCTGGGAGAAATGACGACTGAGGGGTGACATGATCGAGGTTTACAAGATTACGTGTGGGATAGAGCAGGTTGAGAAAGAGGTACTTTTCTCCCTTTCTCACAATACAAGAACTCCTGGGCACTCAGTGAAATTGCTGAACGGTCGGGTTAGAACGGATAAAAGGAAGTCCTTGGTCACCCAAAGAGTGATTAACACATGGAACTCACTACCACAGGAGGAGGTGGCAGCCAGCGTTCCCTCTAAGCCAAGTTAGTGTGAGCCAGCTCAGTGTTTTAGTCTCCAGCTCACACATTTTTGTCTCAGCTCAGGAAGGGTGACTCCAGAGCAAACTAATTTACGCAGGAGCCCAATCGCCCACTCACAATTTTAATGCCAGTAGCTCACAAAGTCAGATTTTTGCTCACAAGACTCCACAGCTTAGAGGGAGCATTGGTGGCCGCCCTGAGTTCATGTTGGAAAGGCGGGATACAAATTTAATAAATAAATACATACATACATACAAGCATGGACGGCTTCAAGAGGGAATTCGATAAATATATGGAGCAGAGGTCCATCCGTGGCTATTAGCCACAAGGTATAGATAGGGACTCTGGGGCAGGTGATGCTCTGTATTCTTGGTTCTTGGGGGGCGGTCAACAGTGGGAGGGCTTCTAGTGTCCTGGCTCCACTGCTGGACCTCCTGAGGGCACCGGGTATTTCTGGCCACTGTGTGACACAGAGTGCTGGACTAGATGGGCCATTGGCCTGATCCAGCATTGGCTTCTCTTATGTTTGTCTGGAAACACTTTGAAAGGCACCGACCAGAAACCCAGTGGGGTTACCAGCCTCCGGGGGGCGGGGGGCTAGAGATGTTGCAGAATTACAACTCATCTCTAGATGACAGAGGTCAGTCCCCCGTACGTCCGTCCAAAAACCCCGCCAAGAGACAGCTGCCTCAGACTGGGGACTTTTTGTCATTGTATCTCAATGTAGTTCCTCGCCAAGCCTCACTCTCAAATATCCAGAAATTTCCCAACCTGGAGTTGGCAACCCGCCCCCCGCCCACAAGCCTGTGGAGCCCGGTGCCTTTTGCTTCCCCCTCCCGGCCCCACACGGCTAGGAAATACACAATATTTACACACAAACCAGTGGGCCAACAGTCAAGGACGGCTTTCTCAAAAAACGTCTATTTATTATGTACAAAAAAAATATCAGTTCCCAGCATCACAAATAGACGATAAAAACACAACACGCAAACGGCCCTAATGAGTCACAGCGCTTTAAAATAAGAACGGTTTTGCTCCAGGAGCGGGCCCCTTCTTGACGGCTCTACCAGCAGGGGGGAAATATTCACCCTTTCCTACCCCCCCTTCACTAAACAATGCAGGGGGGGAATAAGTTCAGGAAAGCAGATGATGTCTGAAAACAGAGAAAGGTGTCAGCACACCTTGGTGGAGGTTAAAGGCGTCAGTGTTTGTGGTCGGCATTTAGAGATGAAGCAAAGATGGTCTGTTTCTTAAAAAAAATCAACCCTCTCTTTTTGAATTAGATGGTCAATTGGAGGAAGATTTGCACCAGAACCTCTGCAAATCAAGTGGTGCGCACCCTTCTCTTCTGACAGTGTGAATCCTGAACATCGGGGTTTAAACTAGGGATCTAATGCCACAGAAAATTTAACTGTTTATAAGCTCTTCTCCTGCTCCCCTCAAATGATACACATCCCCCCCAAAAAATGAACTTCATTGATACCCAATTCCTATCTGTCCCCTCCCCTCCCGAGTTAATGCCCCATGGGGAAATGGGTTATGTTTTTGGATTCTACAATAGGACTGTATGCGTTTCCCCCAAAATAAATGCCCTGTGATGGGTTGCTCTGTAAACACTCAAGGGGCCCTCGCTCCATGCTTGATCGATCTCCAGGCTTTGGGGTTCAGCTTCCTGGTGTCAAAGGGCACACCCACCACTCGGTAATGTCGCATTCTCTAATCTACCTAACCCCTCAAGATCTGCAACCACTGAAACCCTTTAAAAAGCAATCGATCCGTTAATCCTGTGCTAATCCTGTCTGCCGTTGATTCCACATACCCCTGAGTAAATTATTCAAATCTGATACCGATTCTACAGGGTTGGTGGAGTTTTTTTGCACAGGAATGCATCCTAAACTGAGAACAGCACACTAGAGCACAGAACATCCCCCCTCCCCAGATAAAATTAAGACCCCCACCAAATCGGCCCAGACCCCACACATATTGCTGAGCAGTGATTTGCTCTGTACATCTCCCCGGGTAAAAACTACACTGGTAAAAATTTACACTTGGTAAAAATTACACGGACAATTTAAAAGACGTCAGGTAAAAACTGGGTGCCAAACGAAGGCTATTAAAAATGTCTCTGGCGGGGCCGAAGGCACGGCAGAGTCCAGACCTCCCCAGACACGGAGGAGGGGGGTCAGGGGAGGTCTGTGGTATCCCAGGGGTGGGCGAGGGGGTGATCCGACCGCAGGGCTGGCGCACACAGCTGCTCCAGGATTAGACATATTCTCTGTTACTGGGAGGCTTGGAGATTGGCTTGGCCTGGGGGTACTGACGGCCGTAGGCAGAGCCGTTTTTTCCAGGACAGGAACAGGAGAGGAGGGCGCCTCCCAAGATGACCAGGGCGGCACCAGCCCAGCCAACGAAAATGGCAGATCCAAACTCGTACCTGAAAGAGAAAAACCAGAGAAACTGAGATGCCGGGGCGGCTTCTGTGGCCATGGACAGATACATCAATCTATGAGGCAGGGTTCTTTGGGGCACCCAAATTCAATCATGGTGGATTTGGCACAGACTGTGGCCTCTTAAGGTCTCCTCAGGTGGCGGGGAAATGGCCCCTCGCCCCTACAAAGGAAGAAATCGGGTCCCCACGTGAAGAGGGGACCAGGAACACTGACAGATGTCTAGGGCTGCCAACCTCCAGGTGGTGACTGGAGATCTCCTCAGGTTACACCTGACCTCCAGGCGACAGACATCCAGTCACCTGGAGATAGCGGAGAGCCAATTTGGTGTGAGAACCAGTTTGGTGTGGTGGTTAAGTGTGCGGACGCTAATCTGGGAGAACCGGGTGTGATTCCCCTCTCCTCCACTTGCAGCTGCTGGATGACCTTGGGCAAGCCGTAGTTCTGATAAGAGCTGTCCTTGAAAAAGAGCCGTTTCCGTCAGAGCTCTCTCAGCCCCACCGACCTCACAGGGTGTCTGTTGTGGGGAGGGGGAGGGAAAGGAGTTTGTCAGCCGCTCTGAGACTCCTCTTCTTCTTCACTTTGGAAGGTGCACTCTGTGGCAACAATACCCCTGCCCCAAACCATGCCCTCGTCAGGCTATTCCCCCAAAGTCTCCAGGGATTTCCAACTAAGATCTGGAGGACCTGTTCAAATCCCCACTCTGCCATGAAAGCTTGCTGGGTGACCTTGGGCCACTCACCTGCTCTCCCCCTAACCTACCTCACAGGATTGTTGTGAGGATACAATGGAGGAGCGGAGAAATGATGTTAGCCTCTTTCGAGTCCCCACTGGGGGGAAAGGCAGGGTACAAGGTAAATTTTAAAATGATTGGGACTGGCATTCCTAAGGCCAATAATGAAAGTGAAGTAAATAAAACATTATTTCTATAACGCTACCTAAATAACCGTTACGATATAGTTAACGAGATACTCGGTTTTGTGTTTGCATATCATATTACAAATTCCTCTGAAGACGCCTGCTGCATTTCATGAGAAAGATGACGTCTGTCTGTACCCGGTGCAAATTTCTCCACAGGGTCGATGGATTTCCATTCTGTGCAGCTAAATGTGGCGCCTTTCATAAAGACAGATCAAGATGGGCGGCCACGTCAGAGCAGGAGCTCAGTAGCACCTTTAAGATGAACAAAATTTGTGGTAGGGTACGAGGTTTCGTGAGTCACTGCTTAGTTCTCACCTGGTATCTGAAGAAGTGAGCAGTGACTCACGGAAACTCATAACCTGCCACAGATTTTGTGAGTCTTTCGAGTGCTCCTGGACTCTTGCTCTTTTCTGCTGCTCCCGACAGACAAACGCGGCCACCCATCTTGATCAGGGAATTTCTAGCTCAGTAATAATTATTTTGTTTTACTTTACTGGCACCCTTCCATTGGCCTTGGCCTTATTTTTAAGAAGAAGAAGAAGAAGAGATTGGATTTATACGCCGCCCTTCACTTGGAGTTTCAGAGCGGCTTACAAACTCCTTTCCCTTCCCCACAACAGGCACCCTGGGAGGTGGGTGGGGCTGAGAGAACTCTGACACAAACTGCTCTTTTTCAAGGACAGCTGTGCCAGAGCTTGTGACTGACCCAAGGTCACATCAGCAGGTGCAAGTGGAGGAGTGGGGAATCAAACCCGGTTCTCCCAGATTAGAATCCGCACACTTAACCACGACACAAAACTGGCTCTCTTAGGGACTGGTGCGGTGTTCCCTCTCAGCTGAATTAGTGAGAGCTAGCGCACAATTTTTTAGCCTCCGGCTCGCACATGTTTGTCTCAGCTCAGGAAGGATGGGGCTCCAGAGCAAACTAATTTATGCAGTAGCCAAATCGCTCACTCACAACTTCAATGCCAGCAGCTCACCAAGTAGAATTTTTGCTCACAAGACTCCACAGCTCAGAGGGAGCATTGGACTGGTGTGGGCCCTTCTATTTCCTCCACTCTTTTCCAAAGAAACACAAGACTTAGGAGGCTACTGAGAAAACAGAGAACCTTTGCCAAGGACGCGCCCGTGTCAAGCCCTGGATTGGCATTCCAAGTCTAAAGGAGTTGCTACAGTCATCGTTATGCCCCTTTAATCCTGCGCCTCCCAAATAGCAAATTCCCAGCGCTCAACCATCCATCATGGCAAATTAAACAATTAAGCAATCTTTTAAAAATCACAGACAAAACAGCGGTTGGTGCTTAAAATTAAAGCCCTAAAAATCAAAGCAGAGTTTGAAAAGGAATACAGGTAGATAAAAATTACAGAGCCGCAGAGATCTAAGAGGCAGAATAAAATCATACCACAGGCATAAAACCTGGATCGGCCACATAAAACAAAACACTCCTAGCCTGGCAGCTGAAGTATGTTTTTAACTGCGCCCTGCCAACGAACCCTGGATAATTCCGGTCTGACTGAAGGTGTGAGGGATTCCCCGTGCCAATCAAGAACACGGGAACAAAACGATCATTGTCAAGAATTACGGGGGCTGAACTAGATGGGAATTGTTTTCGCTTCCCCAGGGAGGCGGTTCCACAATTATGGGGCTGCCACACCCTTTCTTGTGTGCCCACCAAACGTGTTTCTGTCATGGGACAGTCTGAATGGCCTCCTCCTGTCGTCTGAATTCCCAGGCAGGAGCTAAGCAGGGTGGGTCCTGGTTCGTACTTGGATGGGGAGACCACCAAGGAAGCCCAGGGTTGCTACGCAGAGGCAGGCAACGGCAGACCACACCTCGGTTTGTCTCTTGCCTTGAAAACCCCACGGGGTCACTCTAAGTCGGCTGCAATCCGACAGCCCTTTCCACCCCACCAGGAACATCTGGGAGGAGAGAGAGAGGAGGAGATTCTGTCTCCAGACCAGTCGGCAGACCTAGAACCCTTCAGCCCTAGAACCCTTCGCTTAGCTCCCCTTCACTGACAGCTTTCAAGAAGAGGCTGGATGAATATTTGTCAGAGACGCTTTAGGCTGGTCCTGCATCGGGCAGGGGGGTTGGTCTAGATGGTGTGGACTAGATGGCCAGGCTTGCGTCAACGAGGGCCAGGGCTTTCTCGGTGGCGGCTCCATTCTGGTGGAATGAGCTCCCGGAGGAGGTCAGGGCCCTGTTACAGTTCCGCAGGGCCTGTAAAACGGAGCTCTTCCACCAGGTTTTTGGAGCCGCCACCACCAACATCTGACAGTTTTTGGAGAGCGAGTCACACCCCCTGACATCACCGGAAGTGTGTCAGAAGGCAACACCCACCGCTCAGGCTCCACCGAACTGTTTTGGATTGCTAGCTATGGGGGGGGACGGGACGCGCAGATCTGTCCTCGCAGATACCTGAAGGCGTGCCGGGGGGGGGCTCTGCAACTTATCTGGCTGCTTCTTGCTCCTCGTGGCCCAACTGAGGGCTGCTGGGAGCAGGGGGCAGGGCTTGTTGCCCAACTGAGGGCTGCGGGGAGCAGGGGGCGGGGCTTGTTGCATGTGCCCACCCCCTGGGCTCCTTACTGCTGGAGCTCCGCTCCTGTGCGCTCCCGCAGGAAATGACCCATGTCCAGCAGAGACTTTAGGGATGACCCTTCACGCTGGAAAAAGGTGAACCGGCCAGAGCTGGAGAAGGCCCGGGTGGGGGAGGAAGAGAGACCTGCGGGTGGGAGGGCAGGGGCAAGGTTTCAGAGCAGAGAACCACGTTTCCCAGGAGGCAAAGGGGGCTTCATACCCAAGAGGGAGGGGAGTGTGAGAGAGGCTGCTTCGGAATGGCACGGTGACTGGGGAGGAGACTTAGAAAAAGAGCAGGGAGGGTTGCCAGCTCCAGGTTGGGAAATACCTGGAGATTTTGGGGGGGGAAGCCTGAGGGGGGGGAGCAAGGCTCCCTCTAAGCCGGGTGTGGCTAAACTTGCTTAATGTAAGAGCCACACAGAATAAACCTCAGATGTTTGAGAGCTGCAAGACATCTGAACAAATATCACACACACATTTGCAAAATATGCAGATTTGCTTTTTGTTAACGTTAAATTAAGACTGTGTGAAAGGGCCGCACGAGGCCTTCAAACTACAGTTTGGCCACCCCTGCTCTAAGCTGTGGAGTCTTGCGAGCAAAAATTCTGCTTGGCGAGCTCCTGGCATTCAAGTTGTGAGCAAGCGATTTGGCTTCCGCATAAGTTAAGTTTGCTCTGGAGCCCTCCTTCGTGCGCTAAGACAAAAACGTGGGAGCCAGAGGCTAACAAACTGCGATCTAGCTCGCACAAACTCAGTTTAGAGGGAACACGGGCAGGGAGGGACCTCAGTGCGGTATAATGCCACAGGGCCCATCTTCCAAAGTGGCCATTTCCTCCAGGGGAACCGATTCCCATCACCTGAAGATGAGCTGGAGGTTGGCAACCTAACAGCAAGTGATGCCCATTGGTGGAACGAAGCCCCAAAATACAGAGGAAGGAAGCGGAAGGTGGGCTGGCTGGAAAACAGGGCCAGAATTTGAACAGAAGGGAAGAAGTTTGGCCGGAAATGGATTCATGAGGCTGTTCGAGCTAGTAGGATTTGGCCCCCACCACGGGTAGAAAAAGCATTCCTGCAACTCACCTCTGGCCATGTCCCCCCCCACCTCTCGGGAATGAAACTCACTTGGTATTGACAGGCACCAAGGGGTTGTAGAAGTCCGACACAATCTGGTGTCCGTACCACGAGCACGCAATGAGAGAGGCCAGACCTGCAAAGAGAGAGAGAGAGAGAGACTTAACATCTGCTCCACGCCCCATTTCTACCACCCCTTCTTCTCCGCAGTGAAATTCTGGGGTTTTCCCCCCTCTGGGCTTGAAGCCAGAACGGATTTCACTGGTGCCATGAACCTAACCCTGTCAGTCTTCAGTTTAGAACCCAGATCCGCAGAATCTGGGTTCTAAATTGCAAGACACTTTTGTCTTGCAGTACGGAAATGAAAAGAGTGCGGCAAATGCGTGCACGTTATTCAAGCTTTCATTGGCCGTCTTAAAGCTTGCTGATGACGGGCCCTCGTTGGGAAAATTCCCTCAGTATCTTCTTGCACTGGATCCTTCTCAGTTCACGACCACCACCCCTTAATAGACACAATTGCTGCCACAAATAACCCCTTGGTAGCGCGAGATCACAAAAGCTTGATGGTCTTTAAAGTGGTACAAAGACTCCTTCATGTTTCCGGTGCGACAAACAAACGTGGAGTTCTCTCTGGAACCCCCCCAAATTATATTCCCATCCTCGTTTTCTGCAATCCCCGCCCAAAAGATGGCTGACACATACCAGGGGCAGGCTGGAATACCTGGCCACCCCACGCAAGGGATGCCCGTTGCCTCTCAAGCACGTTTGCCAATCTCCAGGTGGTGACTGGAGATCTCCAGCTATTACAATGTTCCCTCTGGTTCTTCCCCCCCTACTGAGTGGAGCAGTTCACACCCTGAGCAGACGATAACTGCTGTCATCTTCAAATGAGCCATGGGCCGTGCAAGACCCTGCGCAGCTCCAGACTGCTCCTGCGCGGGGCTTCCTGTCTGAACGAGCAGCCGCTCGTGTGCACAGCGTAGAGGGAACAGTGATTACAACCAACGCTCCCTCCAAGCTTTGGGGTCTTGTGAGCAAAATTCTACGTTGTGAGCTACTGGCATTAGAGTTGTGATTTGGCTGCTGGCTAAGTCGGCTTGCTCCGGAGCCATCCTTCCTGAGCAAAGACAAAAAAATGTGTGAGCCGGAGGCTAAAAAACTGGGAGCTTGCTCACACTCACTCAGCTTAGAGGGAACGCTGGCTGCAATGCTCCCTCTGAGCTGTGGATCCTTGTGAGCAAACATTCCGCTTTGTGAGCGACTGGCATTGAAGTTGGGAGCGGGCGATTTGGCCGCTGCCTAAATTAGTCTGCTCTGGAGCCGTCCCTTCCTGAGCAAAGACAAAAAAATGTGTGAGCCGGAGGCTAAAAAACTGGGAGCTTGCTCACACTCACTCAGCTTAGAGGGAACACTGATTACAACTGAGCTCCGGGTGAGTGAGATCACCTGGAAAAAATGGCCCCTTGGGAAGGCGGGCTTTGTGGCGTTCTACCCTGCTGAGGTCCCTCCCCTCCCCAAACCCCACTGTTCTCTGGCTCCACCACCCCCCTCCAAATCTCCCCATATTTCCCAGCCTGGAGCTGGCCACCAGACTCTGGTCTAAGGGTCCCGGAAGGGATGCCCGGCTTCCACATCTACCCTCTCCTCCCTGTCCTGCCCGCAGCAGTCACTCGGGGGACTTGGCTGGAGAAGCGTCCCAGCCTCAATCACTTCTATTTCAGAATCCCCCTCAGAAAAGTAGACCTCTCCGTTATACTGCTGCAGTTTGCCACCTGCCCTCAACAAAAGCCAGCGTGGTGCGGTGGTTAAGAGTGTCAGGCTGGGATCTGGGAGACTCAGGTTTCAAGAAGAAGGAGGAGAAGGAGAAGAGGAGGAGGAGGAGATTGGATTTATGCCCCGCCTTCACTACCCAAAGGAGTCTCAGAGCAGCTCACAAACTCCTTTCCCTTCCCCTCCCTGCAACAGACACCCTGTGAGGCAGGTGGGGCTGAGAGAGCTCTTGACAGAAACGGCTCTTTTTCAAGGACCGCTCTTGTCAGAACGATGGCTTGCCCAAGGTCATCCAGCAGCTGCAAGTGGAGGAGTGGAAAATCAAACCTGGTTCTCCCAGATTAGAGTTCGCACACTTCACCACGACACCAGACTGGCTCCCCACTCTGCCATGGAATCTTGCTTGGCTGACCTTTGGACAGTCACACACTCTCAGCCTAGCCTACCTCACAGGGTTGCTCTGAGGATAAAACAGCGGAGAGGAGAATTTTGTAAGCCACCTTGGGTCCCCACTGGGGAGAAACGTGGGGTATAACTGAAGTAAATAAGCAAAACACACACACAAACAAAAGCCCCCTTCGGTGTCCTTTCTGCCAGGTGAATCTATAAGTCCACCTCTGACCCCGAAGCATCAGGTAACGATGCTCTACGAAGCAAACTGTGTCCTGGAGCAATTAAGATGTTGGCAGAGATGTGAAAGAATATCCACTAATTTATACAGCTAATTGGCTCGCCGTGAAAGGGTGTGGCTTGAAAACCAGCCAGACGAGGAAGTAATTCATGAAGCGACAAAGGATCTAAAAGCAAGACCTGGAGAAGGCAGAGTTCGAGGTGGGGAGGAAGCTCAGCGGGAATGTGATGTTACTCCGGGACTTCCATTTCTCCTGCACTCTATGGTATACCATAGAGTCTGCCCTCTGAAGCTGTCCTTTCCTCCTCCAGGGGAACTGATCTCTGTAGACATCAGCTGGAATTCCAGGATATCACCTAGGTTTTCCAAGTCTGGGTTGGAAAATACCTGGAGACTTTGGGGGTGGAGCCAGGAGAGGGCGGGGTTTGGGGAGGGGAGGGGCCTCAGCATTGTCCAATGCCACAGAGTCCACTCTTCAAAGCAGCCATTTTCTCCAGGGGAGCTTCCCACCTGGAGGCTAGTAACCCTAACATCGCCAGGTCCCCACGAAGGTCAGCCTAACCCAAGCCAAAGACGGGTCCTTCTGGCCAGCTCTTGCTGCTCACCTGCCACGAGGAAGATGATGCCCCCCGTCATGGCGATCCGGGACTTTGTCACCTTGTTTTCGCCTCCGCAGCGGGTACACTTCATGCCCATGGTGGCCACCCCCATGGCGACGGCCCCCAGGACGATGGAGACCACCATGAGAGCCCGGGTGGCCTGCAGGGAGCCTGGAAGAGAAGAGGAGGAAGGTCAAGCGGAACGGAGGCAGTGAACATCACAAGTCCGGGCTCCCAGCATGCCCCCCGTCACCCACCCCCGCCCGGCCCCCTTCCAGAGAACCCAGGAGTCCTCGCTCCCAGCCCCGTTGGCGGCAGAAACCTCCTCCAAGTCCATCGTACCGGTGGGGGTGGGGGTGATGATGGAAAGCGCCATCAAATTCCCTGCCCTGGGCAGCGCAGGCAAGCCCGATCTCGTCAGATCTCGGAAGCTAAGCAGGGCCGACCCTGGTACAAGTACTTGGAAGGGCGACCTCCAAGGCATACCTGGGCCCCCGGGACACAGAGGCAGGCTAAATCGCGCCACGTCTCTGGAAAACGTCCCAGCCCCCAGTAGGGGTCGCCAGAAGCCAGCCACGATTTCCAGGCAAGCACACAAAACACACACGCAAAATGTTTTTTTTAATGGAAGCAACGTCAATCACAGCAGACGTATGGGTTTTCAAGGCAAGAGACGAGCAGAGGTGTGGCTTGCCGTTGCCTGCCTGTGTGTAGCAACCGTGGACTTCCTTGGCGGTCTCCCAGCCAAGTCCTGACCAGGGCCGATCCTGCTTAACTTCTTGGGCCACCCAAGTCAGGGTACTTTACTCAGGGGTCATTTCCTGCGGGAGCGCACAGGAGTGGAGCTCCGGCAGTAAGGAGCCCAGGGGGCGGGCATGTGCAACAAGCCCCGCCCCCTTCTCCCAGCAGCCCTCAGTCAGAGCAAGAAGCAGCCAGGTAAGTTGCAGAGCACCCCCCGTCCCCCCGGTCCAAGACACTCCAGTGGCACCTTTAAGACCAAGTTTTATTCAGGTACAAGCTCTCCCTCCTCTGCAAGGACAGATCTGCATGCCCCCCCCCCCCACACTAGCTAGCAATCCAGAACAGTCCAGTGGAGCCTGAGCGGTGGGTGTTGCCTTCTGACACGCTTCCGGTGATGTCAGGGGGGGTGGCATATGCAAATGAGTTATGCTAATGAGCTCCTGCACCTCTTTTTCCACGAAATGACCCCTGACTTTCCCAAAGTATTCCCAAGAAGAGCTTATTCAACCGTTTCCGGTGAAAAATTCAAACTGGTGGCCTCCCAGAACAGTTCGATCAGCTGACGACTGTTGGGTGTGTCCGTCTGGGCTTTTCCATGGGGCGGGAAATGACAGGTGATGGCAGAATTGTGGCGAGAGTTGACAGGGAGAAACTAAAATCCCCACCTGAGACGAGCCAGCATGGTGTGGCGGTTAAAATGTCAGAACCTGGGAGGCCCGAGTTCTAATCCCAACACCCCACACTGCCATGGAAGCTTGCTGGGAGAGCGTGGGCCAGTCAGCGTCTCTCAGCCTAGCTACCTCACAAGGTTGTTGTGAAGATCAAAGGGAGGAGAGCAACGTAAGCCGCTTTGGGTTCTCAATGGGGGTATGACTGAAACAAACAAGTAAAGCAGGACCCCGGCAGGCTACTCTTCACATCCCACCCGGCTTCTGCCAGCACCCACCCCCCAACACAAGGAAGTTTCCTGCCAAGATACTAAGTAGTATTGTGTGTGCGTGTGGGGGGGTCATCAGGACTCCTGGGTTCTCTTGGTCTTTTAGGAAAAGGAGGAGGCTGACATGCGTGGGGCAGGAAGTGACGCTCTCTCGTTTCCACGGCAAAGCTGCAGTATTCCGTGGGGCCGGAGATCATCCTTTAATTCCCTTTTGGCTCCCTGCCAAGGACAACCTGGCCAGGTAGAGGAGGATACAAAGTCTAAAGGGAGCCCTTTGCCAAGGTGAGCCATAAAGCCACACCCCAGTTAACGCTTCACGTAGCTGGACAAAGTGGGAGGGGGACGTTTCTGGAGGTCACTTCTGGGAGGGGGAGGAGGAAGAGGAGGAGGAGGAAGAGGAGGAGATTGGTGTTATACCCCACCCTGCACTACCCGAAAGAGTCTCAGAGTGGCTTACAATCCCCTTCCCCTCCCCACAACAGACACCCTCCCTGGGAGGTAGGTGAGGCTGAGAGAACCCTTTCCAGAATCGTCCTTGAGATAACAGTTTGGTGTAGTGGTTAAGTAAGGTAAAGGTAAAGGTTCCCAATGGGGAAAGCCAGTCGAGTCCAACTCTAGGGTTGCGGTGCTCATCTCCGTTTCAAAGCCGAAGAGCCAGC